ACAATTAAAGAGGCTTTAACTAAATTTTCGCTAGCAACTGGCACTAAAGACTGGGTGACTCTACTGCCCTTGGCTTTATACCGGGCCAGGAACACTCCTGGGCCCAGTGGGTTAACTCCGTTTGAAATCCTGTATGGGACCCCTCCCCCTGCAGTTTCCTTCTTAGACCCGGATATCTCTAACTTTGTTGATTCACCTTCCCTCTTTGCTCACCTGAAGGCACTCCAGCTGGCTCACCAGGAGATCTGGAAGCCCCTAGCTGCAGCCTATCAGGATGCTATTGACACTCCTATTGCACCCCACCCCTTCCAGCCTGGGGACGCTGTCTGGGTCCGGAGGCATCAGACTCGGAGCCTAGAACCACGCTGGAAAGGACCATACACCGTCCTCCTCACCACACCTACAGCTCTTAAGGTCGACGGGATTGCAGCCTGGGTCCACGCCTCCCACGTTAAGGCAGCCGATCCGGCTCACCAGGAACCCCCAGAGAAGGACAAAGGGCGATGGCAGCTGGCGCGGACTACCAACCCCCTAAAGATAAGACTGGTCAAAGAAAGATGCTAATCATGTTGCTCTGGGTATTGACTTTCCCCAGAGTAGAGTCTGGGGAGAATCCACACACCCCATACCGTATTACCTGGACCCTCAGTAATTCTTATGGGGAAGTCCTTAATCAGACTGAGTTAATTGGCCCCATCAGCACCACCTTTCCTTCACTCTCCTTTGACGCCTGTAAGGGAGTGCCATCCTGTATTTGGGACAGTTTAGTAGACAAGGGGACCATTTATTTATGTCCAGGGCATCAACCTGACAACAAAATGCGCTATTCTTGTGGGGGAATGCAGTATGGATGGTGTTATTACTGGAATTGTGCAACTGCAGGTAGTACATATTGGAAGCCATCTTCTAGCTGGGATTACATCCGAGTAAAAAGAGATCCCAGCATAGATAAATATAAGGTTGGCAGTGCAGGAAAGCCCCTCCCCCATGTGCTTGAATTCACTGAGAAAGGAAAGTCCCATGACTGGAACCGCCCCTGCAGCTGGGGACTGTTCGTATACAGAAAATATGGGGACGATCCATGGGAAGTAATTACACTCAGTCGCTCGGTGCAACCCTTGGCCCCCTCGGCAGTGGGTCCCAATCCAGTTCTAACTAGGGACCTTCCACTTCCTCCCCCTGCACCTCCCATACCAGCCAACCCAGTCCTCAGTAACCAGCGACCAACTTCCCCTCCGTCATCTGTTTTGGTGCCCCCTGCACCTCACAATTCTGGGGATGGAACTCAGGATCTCCAAGGCCCTGCACCTCCAATACCAGCAGGCACCCCGGACCCTGTAATAGTTTCAGGTCTGACTGAAGCCCCACCCGCCTATCCTGGAACAGGTGAAAGGCTCCTAAACCTCGTCAGGGGAGCATTCCAGGCATTAAATCACTCGGAGCCAGATAAATCTAAGAATTGCTGGCTCTGTCTGAACCCGAGCCCCCCTTACTACGAGGGCATAGCCGTCCAGGGAAACTTCTCAGTACTACCAGCAAATTCCGCTGCCCCTCTCGTCTGCACCTCTTCCACACATACACTCACCCTGACCCAGGTTACCTTGACAGGCACCTGCATCGGAAAGGTGCCCACTGGATTTAAACATTGTCTTAAGAATAGCTCCCCCCTTACCCTCCAGGCCGACGTATACCTAGTGCCCCCTTATGGCACCTACTGGGCATGCAATACGGGACTGACTCCCTGTGTCTCTCTAGCTGTTCTAAATCTAACCCAAGATTTTTGTGTCCTGGTACAGTTATGGCCCAGAATCTATTGGCATGAAGACAGCTATGTATTACAACATTATGAAGAGACACCTACCCCTGTCAGATTCAAGCGAGAGCCTGTGAGCATAACCTTAGCTATATTATTGGGAGCTGGGGGAATAGCAGCGGGAATCGGGACAGGGGCAACTGCCTTAGTTCGCTCGGACCAGTTTATGCTCCTTCAATTACAACATTATGAAGAGACACCTACCCCTGTCAGATTCAAGCGAGAGCCTGTGAGCATAACCTTAGCTATATTATTGGGAGCTGGGGGAATAGCAGCGGGAATCGGGACAGGGGCAACTGCCTTAGTTCGCTCGGACCAGTTTATGCTTCTTCATGAAGCCATGAACCAGGATCTAATAGCCTTAGAGGAGTCCATAAGAACCCTAAAAGACTCCCTGACTTCTCTCTCTGAGGTAGTGCTGCGGAATAGAAGGGGTTGGTTTGAAAAACTATATGATCAATCCCCTTGGTTTACCTCGTTAATATCCTCCATAGCAGGCCCGCTTATCCTTTTGCTCTTAATCTTAACCCTGGGACCTTGTGTACTTAATCGACTGGTCCAATTTGTGAAAGAACGGCTGTCTGTAGTGCAGGCGCTAGTCCTCACCAGCCAATACCAGGCACTGAGGACCCAAGACCCAGACATGTTATAGTGAGTGAAAGATTCCACTCATATGCCCATAGAAAAAGAGGGGAATGAGAAAATAAAAAGAAACTAGGCGCCATGAGTGCTCAGGGGCCCACAGCCCACCTGTCAGGACAGGCAGGCGCCGGTCAAGCTTCACAGATCAAGCCATAAACAAGCTTTACGGGCAGAACTCCTGACCACCCTGAGGGCCCGATACCAGGAAATCTTAAGAAAACATCTGTGCCTCTGAGGTCACCTCCCATTTAGCAATCCCACTTCCCCCTAGCCCCGGCCCTTACCCCATATCTTTGCATACTTTTGAAATTACTGGTGAAATTACTGTGTGTGTGTTTGAATTAACCAATATCCGCACTTCTGCTTCTGTACCCTGCTTCTGCCTTATAAAAACCCCCTGAACCCCACCTGAGGCGCGCAAGTCTTCCGAGGAGACTTTGTGCCCACAGGTACCTGTGTCCTAAATAAACCTCTTGCTGTTGCAACCCGAAGGCTGACTTGTCCTCAGTGGTCTCACTCTTACAGCTCCATGACCTCCCAACAGCACCACCCACTGGGAACTGGATGTTTAAATAGCTGAGCCATTTCTGTTTTCTTTCTTTTTTAAAAAATTTTTAATGTGTGTGAATGTTTTGCCTACAGGTATGTAAGTACACCATGCATACAATGCTCACAGAGGCCAGAAGAGTGTATGGAACTGGAGTTACAGATGGTTGTTAGCCCCCATATAGGTACTGGGAACTGAACCCAGGTCTTCTGCAAGAGCAGTCAGTGCTCTTAACCACTAGGGCAGCTCTCCAGCCTCAGGGGCATTTCTTCTGTGAACCTTCACACAAGTATATATAAAAGCAGTGGTACCTCTATTTCTTAATTTGAAAACATAGATGTGTGTCAATTTATACTTCTACCTAGTTATTTTTAATTTTTGTATTTAGAGAAAATGTTAACTTTATATAACATTCACAAGACAACTGCATCGAACTCCCAAATATCTTTTAACAGAATCACTTGTTTTCACCATTTTGTTGACACATTTTGTCACCTCTCTTCTCTCCGTTCTTTTTTAATTCTTTCTAACTACTGAGTGTTTCTCATCTGCAAAGCCAATTTATTCCAAAACTTTATTGTATATTTTCAAACACAAAGATACTCTCTCATGTGACCACAGCACTGTTGCAAGTTTAGGGATTTGGACAGCTTCACAAGTTGCTTCTGATTTTTCCAATTGCCTGAACAATGTCTCTAATAAAATGCTTCTCTTCCTCTAGCCTTCTTTGTTGTTGGTGTCTCATACTTTTGGAAGACACTGAGTTTATAGGTCAGCCTTCAGTTTGAATGACCTGTTTCTTATGGTTAGGCTCTTGTAGTATTGCTGGTTGAATACTACAAAAATGATGGCAACCCATGACATCAAGCTGCCCCTTCCCTAGGCATTTTAATTTTGCTCATCTGATAAAGATGCTCAATTTATCTGTGCAAAAACTATTTTCCCCTGTAACTAATAAATTATACCAATGGGGACAAAATGAGATTATATAAATGTCCCCTTTTCTTACTGCATATTCATCTCCTGGTGCAGTATCTGTTGACAGTTGTCTGACCCATTCTTGAAAAATATTTTATTTATTATTTTATTTTATGTGTATACATGTATTGCCTACGTGTAGGTAAGTGCATCCGTGTCGTGCAATGTCCGCAGAGGACAGAAGAGGCCATAGGATCCCTTGGAACTGGAGTTATGGACAGTTGTTAACTCCCATGTGGGTGCTGGGATTTGAACCTGAGTCTTCTGTAAGAACAGCCACTGTTCTTAACCACTGAGCCATCTCTCCAGCCTGTCTGGCCCATTCTTATATAATCATTTCAGAACAGTGATTTTCTATTCTTCTCTCAGTTACCTGTTGAAGGAAGAACGTCGTATAGCCAATTTTCTGTTTTTCTATGTTGCTTCTGAAATGGGGAGAAAGTGGGTCCCCTAGAGGATTCTTAGTCTCATTCATAAAAGAATTAAGAATGGACCCAAATGGAAGCTTTTGCAATTTTATTAGAATCTTAAAGAAAAATCCTCAGGGCAGGTGAGCTGGTAAACTTGACAGCTGCCTTGAGGAGGTGAATAGTGGGAAGAAGGAAAGAAAGCCACGGAGCCATGCAGGTTTAGAGCCTGCATGGAGGTCAGACAAGTGGCTGACTTGCAACCACATGGCTGGGAGAAGGAAGCTTTAGAGAAAAGTGAAGAAATACAAGATGCTAGGGGCAGCCCAAAGCCTTAAAGAAAGCATGTTTAGTAGGAAAGGCATGAAGAAGAAAAGGAGAAATTTCACTTTCCTGAAGAGTTCAGGAAAGTGGACAGACTTACAGAGACCTACATGACTGTGGCTGGTCTGGAAGTTCTACAGAGATCTGTGCTAGATCCAGGCAGGAAATACTCGCTACTTCATTAACACACAAGGTATTCTGCCCATCTATTTAGCATAACTTAAGGTGAACCTACCTTCCAGGAGTGGTTCTTTCACAAGGTAATTGACCAGTGAGACTGGAAAAGTGGGTCCTCCAACACATAGACTAGACACTTTTTATAGTCTGAACCTGTTAAATTTATGGGGCTTATTGACGTTAACACTTCCATCCATCCAACCATATATCCTAACTCTAACCAGGACTTCAAGTACTATTCTGCATCAAACGGGGGAGAGTAGGCATCCTTGACTTGTTTTTTATTTTAGAGGAAAACTTTCAACTTTGACTATAAGCCTGATGCTAACAATTTGTTTATCGTACATGGTGCTTTTTATATTGAGGTAAATTTCTTCCAGGTATTTATTTTTTAATTCTATTTTTTTAATATTGAGGTTATTGCTAAAGTATATTTAAAATATCTAGAAAATAGCATTGGATATGTATAAACAATCTTATCCTTCCTAAAAAAAAAAAAAATTTCTTCTACCCCTAATCTGTTGAGAGGTTGTTTTTGTTTTTGTTTTTAATCATGAAAGGATGCTGAATTTTGTCAAATGCTTTCTTTAAGAGTTTAATAAAATTGTAAAAGCTTCCATTTGGGTCCATTCTTAATTCTTGTATGGTTTGTCCTTTTTTCTGTTGATAAGATGTATTAAATATTTATTTACATATCTTAAACTATTCTTACACTCCTGGGATTAGTCTCTCCTGATTATAGTAGTTGTTAAAAATAAACTCTTCAATGTGCCTGAATGAGTTTTCTAATATTTTGTTGAAAACATTTCTATCCTCTCTGTTCATCAAGGATATTGGTCAGTATTTTTTTTTTTATTGGTAATATCTTTATCTGGCGTTAGTATACTGGGTGCTGGCCTTATACAACTATTTTGGAAGTTGGATTACTTTTCTCATTGTGGCCAACTCGAAAAACAATTTAAGGAGAAAAGTTTCATTTCACCTCATGATTGAGGGGTACAGTACATCATGGCAAAGAAGACGTGGTGGTGGAAGCAGCTCAGGGCTGCAGTGGTGGGCACTTGCTCACTGTCTGGTGGACAACAAACAGAAAAAGGGGATTTTATTTTTATGTGTATCAATGTATTACCTGCATGTATGTAAGTGCATCCATGTCTTGTAATGCCTGAGGATGTCAGAAGAGGGCATCAGATGCCCTGGGACTGGAGTTAAGGATGGTTGTTAGCCACCATGTGTGTGCTGGGAGCTGAACCTGGGTCCTCTGCAGCCAATGCTCTTAACCACTGAGCCATTACTCCAGCCCCTGCTATAATTTCTTTAAATAATCTTTGTCTTTATCCTTAACATCCAAACTCCTAAGACTTAAAAAGTCACTCTTTGTTGCCATCTCATAAGTCCTGGAAGTTTTCCTTTCATTCTTTCTCTCTTTTATCCTCTGTACTGATAGATAAAAAGTAGCCATATGACAAATAGGGTTGATCAGGAGAAAGCACACAGCTAAAACTCCATCAAAATAGGGTTTATTAGCAAGGGAATGCATGGGACAGATTCCCTTCCAGGCAGGGAAAATGTCTGCCCGGGTCTTGAGCTGGTGTCTTTTAAAAGGGAGGCTTCTGCCTCCTGCAGAAGGTGGGAAGATGTATTTTTTTTAAAGTTGGGTGGTAGTGGGGGAGTGGGAGAGTGGGACTATTAAAACCTGTTCTCTTTAGAGATCAAAGGGGAAAGGGGTTGTTTGCTGGGGTCTTTTAAGGGGGAGGCTTCTGCTTCCTACAGAAGGTGGGAAGATGTATTTTTTTTAAAGCTGGGCAGGGGGGAAGTGGGAGAGTGAGACTATTAAAACCTGTTCTCTTTAGAGATCAAAGGGGAAGCCTGCTGTGTTGGTCAAACAGTGGAGAAAAGTCTGCTTCTCTTGACTTCAAAGACCAAGGTGCTTATCAGCTCCTTGAGCATGAGAAGTCCTTGAGACCCTGTTGGTGAGGGGGCAGGGCTATCTGAACCTTAACATGTATGTTTTCTAATAACTTTGCAAGTTATGCTTCTTGATTCTTCTGGTGATGCTCTCCATTGCATTTTTATTTCATTTGTTACATTTCTCAGCTCTGGGATTTCTGTTTGGATTTTCTGTCATTATTTCAACTCTCTATTAAAGTTCTCATTTGCCAATTATTTGCCTCATTTCATTAGACTATTTCTGCATGCTTCCTTGAAGTACACCAAACTGCCATAAAACAATTATTTCAAATTCTTTGCCTGGCAGTTCACATTCATCTCCATTTCTTTATTCATTTAGTGATGTTATATTTCTATTACTGTTATAAGTCACTTAGGCTGAACACCAGTGTCTGTGCATCTCAAGATGGAGGGTTTGATTCCATCATCACAGACTGGCTTGGTTTTGGAAAGCCCTATGTCCAGTGTGGTGCTGGGTTACACCAGAAACCCAGGATCTGCTATGGCAAATGTGCAGGCCAGAAGCCAGAAGCCACTAAGAGCTAGTGCCAAGGCTATTCTAGAGTGGCCTGCTAATGTACCTGTCAGGGGTGTGGCCACACAAGCTTGAAGTTTGGGGCTATGTGTTCTGATGTGGGACCTGGCTATGTGTAGAGACTCAGTGTAACAGGAAGTAGTATGAAACAAGGACATGTGGAAGTCTTCCACTGCTGTGTTTTGTTGTGCAAGGCTCCCTGTTGGAGTCCAACAAAGACCTATACTTGCTCCTCTCTCTTTCCCCCAGACACTATGTGTCTGTTTCTCAGTGTTCTGCTGTCTGGGGCTAGAGGGAGGGATGATTTGCGATGTAAAACTGTCCTTCCTACCTTCTTCCATACATCTCTTATTGTTCCACAACCGGACATTATAACCTCTCGCTTGGTCTCCTTTGCTCTTTTGAAGACAGTTGTGTGATTGATTAGTTGATTAAACTATGCCTTTGTTAACAGACAACTGCAGGAACTAACATTATTGAACCTCTTAATTTAGTCAATTATTAAAATTTCCAGTTGAAAAGTCTATTCTTTAAAATTCTAATCTGGTGTTCTTAGGTGGGCACTCCTCATACCAGTACCTAATTATTTTTCTTGGTATTTAGAATTTATTTTTGAGTAGACTATTTGTACATTTGTCTTTAAAAATCTATAATCAGAACTGAGCATGGTGGCACATGCCTTAGTCCCAACACTCAGGAGGCAGAGGCAGGTGGATCTCTGTGAGTTTGAGGCCAGCCTGGTCTCCGTAGTGAATCCAGGCCAGCTATGGCTACAGAGAGACCCTGTCTCAAAAAGACCAAAAAAAAAAAAAAATCTATAACCAATGTATGGCATGCCTAAGCCTCTCCAAGTTCATTAGCCTCCAAGTATAGATTATAGATTTTAACTGGTGCCAAGTGAGGGTGTTATAGGCCCTGACTTGCTTAGGAAACAGTTCTCACACTGAAGGAGGTTTGAATTCCTTCACTCAAATGGAAGAGAGTCCAAGATTGTCAGAGTTATTGAAATATTTTCCACTTGTGGTTATGTGGTGTTACAAAGCCACATTACGGTTATACCTCAATAAAAATCAATCAGCCTGACTACTAACTTTAGTTTTATGGCCGAGGGGATGTAACTGAGAATCAACCATTCCTTCTGATGTCTCTCAGAACTGGCTTCCTGAGCCAGGCCTCATCCATATTTTTATTCAAACACTCTCTCCATCATGAATTGGGAAATCATAAGTTTGGCTCCACCCTTATCTTATCAAAGAATCCTTCTGTTTGATCCCCTGGCCTAAAATACCTGAAAACAATCAGTGCATACAATGTCATGCACACTTCTCATACATACACAAATGTCACTGCTCCCAGGGATGATATGAATAGGAACACACCACTTTCAGTGTTTTGTTGTGCTAAATCAAGCACACCCTCATTCATTCACTACCTTGGGTGGGGCAAGGTGGGGTTATGAGGGATCACGGTCATATGCCCAGGTCACAAGGCTCACTGGGTGAACTCTTTTATATTACAAAGAATAGCTTCTTGGTACAAGGTTAAGTAAATGTCCTTAGTCCAGATTCTGTCCATATTGTGAGTGGTTCCTACGCGTTTCCACCTTGAACTGTAGTCTTCAAAGCACTCACTCATGCACATTCTTCCTAGTTCCCAGTGCTATCAAAATTCCCCACGTCCTCTTAAGCACTGCTGTTAGGGCAGGGAAAACCACAAGTTCTGTCATCATAACTCAAAATTAAGGTGGTTCTAATAAGGTCACTACAGTGCACAGCATCCTGAAAGGATTTCCTCAACCTGTAATGTAATGCACAGACCTCTCAGAACACTATGTGAAAGTCCTCATATTCTGTGGCTATCCTTCCAACTTCATACTCATTTCTTGTCATATATCTCAAACACTCACCATTCCAGACTATTAATCTCTCTCTAAACCTGACAAGTAATTTTGACCTTTCTATTTCTCCTACTTCTGACTCATCTGCCCTGGCTCTCCTAGCTAGCTATGAATTTACCATGTACCATCCAAGGTCGAGCTGGAAAAATTTCTTTTCTCTGTAATATTCCAAGATGCTCCAAGTGAAATTGATGACTGTGATCTCTGTGGCCTCATAGAACATGGTCTGAAGTGACATTATAGCCATACCCTGATGTGTTTTACTTCTGTGTGTCTGTGTCTCTCTCTACTGCTCCATCTCACTAATCTGACATGTTCCACACATGCAGTGTAACGTTTCATATTGTTAGGGCTCGAGAATCAAGAATAATTCCCACAGATACCCAAAAAGATTATACAAAAAGTTTATTCAAGAATTTAAAGTAAAAAAAGACAACAACCAAATGGTGGCTAACCAAACACAGACTTCATGAGCCAAAGATGGAGTCTGGCCCTGAACAATAGCAGGCAGGGGCTTTTATTGGGGCACTCCACAGAAGCCCGCGCATGCCAAGTATCTTTTTAAAATAATTGGATGTCCCCATATCCTGTGTACGGGGAAAGTTTTGATTGGTAGGGGCTGTCTTCTGGGAATTGGAATGTGCTGATTAATATCTTTTAGAGCCAGAAGTTTCTGTTTATACCTTATAAGGCTTTTACATGTACAGTATGTCTGAGCTTGTCTGGGCTTGTCTAAAGAAGCTAGCCAAAATGGAGTCAGAGCATTCTGGCTCTTCATTCTCCCCCTAGAGTTATGGCAAGGGTTAAATCTTTAAGCCAAGCAAAGTACAGAAGTGGAAAGAAGCGGTTAGATGGCGCATTTAGGGCGGTGGAACCATTTCTATATTGTCGTAAGGCTCGGGGTCTCGATTTAAATGAGTATACTGTGAACACAGTACCATCAGTTGGACTGTCTGTATCCATTCTTGGATGAATTTGAGCAAGGCATTAAGAATACAGGGGCCACAGGTTACTGCTAATAGGAGTAAGAGGAGAGGTCCGACTATTGCTGAGATCAAAGTTGTTAACCATGGGGACCAGTCAAATAGGGATTTGTACCAATTGTTGATTTAGTCATTCATTTTCTCTTTCCTTAAATCTTTTACAGACCTCACCAAAGACTGTTTTATAACTCCCAAGTGATTAACATAGAAACAGCATTGTTCCCCTACGGCAACACAGAGTCCTCCTTTTTCTAGAAAAAGTAAATCCAGCCCCCTCCTATTTTGTAAGGTTACCTCAGCTAAAGAGGATAGTCTTTGAGGTGGCGGATAGATGTTTCTAATGATTGTATGTCTAAGTCTATGGCCTGTCTAAGAAGGTGATAATTTTTATTCTGGAGGAATAGTTCTAAATCCCCCAGACCAGTTGCAGTGGTTACCCTGACCCCAAGTAGAGTAGACAAGACAACTGCAGTTGTTCCTATGGCCCTATGAGGTCTAGACTCTTCTGAGACTCTGGTTTCCATTTCTATGTCTGTTCTATAATATAGATGGGGAACCAGCTGCACTAGTACACAAAAATCCCCGGTCTGGTTTAAAATGGATGAGTGGAGGCATGTAGTTAAGCCAGAGGTACAGGCCCACCAAGTGGAGTTGGGGGGCACCATATATGGGTTAGGTACAGTAGCCCCTGTCTCTTGAACAGAGTTACATAGATGTTGGTAAGAAGGGGGGACAATTTTATGTGAGGAGTCACACATAGCCCTTTTCCATACACTTGGGTAAGGGTAAGCTCCCTTCTCCCTCTAGGCGGGGGAATCCTACAGGCAGTGGGGTCAGACGTGACAACATAATTTCCTGGGAGAGCTAACCCATCATAAAAGGGAGGGCTCAGGTCCATGCAAAACCAGCAATGGGTAGTAAGGTTAGGGGAAGTATTATTTAAAGCAATAAAGGTGGCATTTAGGAGATTCATAAGCCCAGGGGATGGCTGCAAGGGCTCTTGGACCCGTTGGATCTCTGGGGGTGTGGATCTAGGTGTGGGCAAAGTAGCAGTTTATCTAGGTGTGGACAAAGTAGCAGTTTTATCCAGTCAGACAATTTGGCTAGGAGCTGGCCTCTCAACAGATTTAAAAATAGTTAAGGCTGGTGTTGGTTGTCCTATAGGCTGTAACACTGTCCGAGCGGCCCCATCTGGGTCCCCACGACTGGACCCACCTGAAGATGGACTGAAAAAAGTATTCCTGGATCAGTTCCTGTGCGTATAACCTGAGGCCCCAAGTTCACCCATCAATCCATTTTTGTAAGTTTTTAAGTTCCTTTCCTTTCAGAGTGAAGCTCAAGGAGATAGGGTTGTATCTAGAGGAGGAACAGGGTCCCTCGAATTGCCTTGATCTGGGGTTTCACCAAAGGGTTAGGCCTGGGACTGCAGTTACCTGGACCAAGTCAGTAGTGACAGGGGCAGCCCAATTAATATATCCAGTAGACACACAGCTCCATGAAGTATAGAAATAGTCTCCTGGCCCCCCACAAGTGCTTCTTTGGTCACCATTGTCACCCAGGCAAACACAGAAGTGGTGCTCCTTCATCCTCTTTCGGCCAAGGGGAGACTGGCAAGCATAATTTACAGTGCCTGACGGGGTGTACGATTCCCAAGCTCCTTCAAGCAGGTCGCAGAGGTCGAATGTAATCTTGGGGAGCCAGGTGCCTCGAGGTCCCAGGCGGGAGGAGATGTTCACTATCTTTCCAGTGGTTGTGCTACTAACTACCCAGGTGAGGTTTTGGAGTCCATGAGGGGAGTTAGCTAGGGCAGGCTCTATAAAAGGAAATAAAAAAGCAACAAGGGTTGTGGTATGGCAGAGATTTTTAGCTTGAGAGGATTGTCTTTTACCCATGTGACCTTCCATCTCTTGTCAACTTGGTCTGATCAATCTTCTGATGTAGGCTTTAAATGCCAGTGATTTACCCAGGTCTGGACACTGGCCACCTTAACCACAGTAGGGGTGATGAGGATCATGATGTTTGGTCCCTTCCATCGAGGTCCAAGGGGCTCCTTGTGGTGCCGTTTCACCCAAACAAGGTCTCCTGGCTTGAATCCATGCGGTTGGGTCGGTGGCAGTTTGTAGATGTGCCT